GAAACCCATTTGTAAAGGCTCCTTAAGCAGATAAAATACAGTAGCTAGCATTACATTGGTAATGTTTCAACTCATAATTTTATTTAGTACAAGAATATACGGCTACAGAAAAAATGCACATTGATTTAAATAATGAAAGGAAATAGGAAGAACAAAGAGAAGAGCAATGCAAGAGTCAGTTGTTTGAGATGGGCGGCCATAAAAATCGAACCAAGAAATAAAGAAATAAAGCTTGCTGTATACCTAGTTTTCTTAAGTATAATGTGAAATTCATAATCTTGAAAATTTCAGACAATGTATCATTCCATTTTATTTCATAATAAAGAGATATCATAAATAATGATTATTTGTTGCCTTTCCTTTTTGGATTATACTTTAAAATATGTATCTTCTAAGTGAGCCTTTTTTATTGCAACGTTTTTACAAGTCTTGGTTCAAACCAGTCTTTATTGACATTTCAAGTCCTATTTCTGGTGGCACCAGCTTCACCTTGTAAAGTGCTGGAATGGTGGGACCTTAGCAGACCATCCTTCACATCCATCAAATTCATCTTGGTTGGTGTTATGCATGGCTGATTTTGAAAGCATCCAGAACATAAGCCTTGTTTTAGACAACTGCATGTGGGATCAGGTTGTTTCAGGCCAGAATCTCCAACTTTTGGACCCAGTTGGTGCTCTTGTTATAAAAGCCTTCCCCATTCACAACACGGCAGCCACAAGGGGTGTGATCAATTACCAAATGCCCATTAGTCGTGAGATAAATCTGTGAGATTGGCCCTGGTCTTTTGTCCATCAGAGCTTGCCAAGCATGCAAAGGGAAGGTTCAGAGAGGATGTTGCTACAACCAAAACTCCCTCATTGCAGCTAGCAATGCCCAGTGGAAGGACACAAAGCTCTGTATATGCACACCAAAATCTAGACAACTAGGGCAAGCTTTCCAAAGAGCTATGCCAAGCGTCCCAAGAGGCCTTTTCTGTGTCTTGCCTTTCCACAGTGGGGACGTTGTTTGCGCCAAACTCTGTGCCAAGGTGCCTGTGACATGCCTTTGATGGACCTACTTTCTAGCTTAGAGCGGTGTTTCTCAACCTTGGCAACTTTAAGATGGCTGGACTTTAATTCCCAGAATTCCCCAGACTGCATGCTGGCTGGGGAATTCTGGGAGTTGAAGTCCACTTGTATGAAAGTAGCCAAGGTTGAGAAACACTACCTTAGAGACTCATTACAACCCAGGATGACCCAACCCATTCTTGTTTTGGGACCACTGGACCCTTGTTTACATAACCTAAAGGGCAATTTTGATTTAGGTGACATTCTGAGAAAATCTAAATGTTTTTGCTGGATCTGAGGCTGTTTTGAAAGTAAAAAATGATGCTGGAGTTTGTTTTTGCAGGATGCTTTTAATAAAAGGGTAAAGGGTAGAGGGGGGCATGAGGCCTAGCAGCACCAGGACAAGGAAGTGTGAACAGGCACCACATTGCATGACATGACATGACAGCAAGAAATGGAAATCCAGAAGATCAGTGGCTATTCGCCTTGATGGCAGTGGGACTTCTTCTGAAGGCCATCTGCTGGGGGAGAAATGGGCTTCCTTGTGCAGTTGGTTGGCCACTCTGAGAACAGATTGCTGGAGTAGACGAGCCAGGGGAGAAATCCAGGAGGGCACTGCCTATGCTCTTATGTCCTTATTACTGAAGGAGCGCAATGGACCACTGGGCTTTTGAGGCTGAATCTCCACCGTTGAAGTCAAACACCACAGACGCTTTGCTGACATTGCCTCTCACCTAAAATCCCTTTGCATGTACTATTCTAAGCCTAGGCAATCTGCTTTGGTTGATTTTCCATTTAAAAGGAACTTATTGGTGAGAATTTTCCTCAGCTCTTCCTGCTTGGGTCTGAGCATGTGTGACCAAGATAGAATTGAGGACAGTGGAGGAGGTAGAATATGATCTCTCTGCCCATGAATTCGGAGCAATGGAAGGGTAATTTCAAAGGAGTGGAAGATCACTCTTGGCAGGCAGAGAGTAAAAAGCATGACTGAGATCAGGGAAAAGGAAAACAATCCAGCATTATATTAATCTTTGGGAAAGGTAGTTTCAGAAAGCTGTGCATCTTGGTGGCCATAGGCAAACACGTGACTTCTTCAGACATAGTTATTTGTTATTCGTTTATGTGCTAAATTTCTATCTTTCCGTTCTGTTTATTCAACACTCAGGTGGCTAACAACACATAAAAAGAGAAAGTATAAACCGCAAGAATAAATGGCTGCAATTTAAATTAAGGCGAAATTACAATCAATATTATTAAAATTGAAATCCATTGCGCAAAGTATTTAAACACACATGGGAAATTAATCAGTGGGTTAACATTGCTGTTCAGACAGGCACATAATTAGCCATATGTACGTAAATTGAAATATTTCTGATTGAAAGTAACGTAGATGAGATAAATGGTGGAAAAGAAAAGATGAGGGAGAAAAACAGCCCAAGCAAGATATCTGTGAGAAGTTTCCCTCGCCTCTGCCTCTGTGATTTAAGGTAGCCTTTGATGAAGAGGGCCAGACTGGAGACCACCATGAGTGGGAAGCAAATGGTGGTATACATGAAATTGTGGTAGAGAGGGTGGAATTTTCGTAAGATTTTAACTAAAATCAGAGTGTAATGAATTGCACAGGCAAGGAAAAAGACTATTCTTGTAATGGCACAGAGCATGGTGGAGAAGTATTGGGGCTGATGGCACTGATACCAAATTGGGAAGAAGTTAGACAAACACCAGTCAATGCTGATGATTATCAGAAGAAATTGACCACTACAGTAAGTGCATGCTAAACATTCTGTTATTTCTATGTGGGAATGTCCAGTTGTTATGTACAGAATTGCATGCAGAAACAGGGTTATGAGGGTCCCACTGTCAGCCACACATAAACAAGAGAACATTTCATGACATTCTGGTTGGTTTATATTTGGTCAGAGCCGAACCTCACAGGAGAAGAAAATGTCCATTGGAATCACTAACGGATTCTTTGTTTTTATACGTGATAACAGCAGCAAGACTTTTGCGTGCACAAAGGTGGAAGATTTGCCATTCCCTACAGTGGACGAAGGGATGGTGCGATTGATGGAGTTGGCTGAGATGGTGAAATTGGCAGCTTTGAGGAGAGAAGAGACATTGATTGATTTTAATGCTGATTGGAAACCCCTTTTGGACTTTTGTGTGAAACAGAAAAAAATGAAATCATGACATATGGATTTGTTGATTAGAAATAATAGTAGCAATAGAAAAAAATTAAAGTTACGTTATAAACTTGGAGTAAGACCTTAAAACAAATTTATACTTACAACTGTTGGAAAAGAAAGTTGGAAGTCATTTTTATTTTCTACTTCTTTTTTGTTTTGCACTTTTGATATTTTTTTTTTCATTCTTTACCTTTTTCTCTTTTCTACTTTCTATCTTAATTATTAGTTCTTGTTAGTTTTTACCTTTTTATCTTGAAATCTAATAAAGTTATTTGAAAAAAAAAGAATCACTACCTGGTTAACTTCTTCCCTACTAAATATTTGTAGTATTGTGGAATCTCACATGGTTGGTGATAATTTAACAAGGGGTTTAACTGGCTATTGAATTTGAGTTTCAGAAATTTCTGTATTTTTTTTTTTTTAATCAGTGTAAACATTAGCTGGAGCTGGCATCCTCATGAAGAACAGAGCAAATCTTCCCAGCAAAGGAAGAACATTCTTCCAACTTGAAGGGGGAGCTGGCATCCTCATGAAGAACAGAGCAAATCTTCCCAGCAAAGGAAGAACATTCTTCCAACTTGAAGGGGGAGCTGGCATCCTCATGAAGAACAGAGCAAATCTTCCCAGCAAAGGAAGAACATTCTTCCAACTTGAAGGGGGATTCTATTCCCTGAGATGGGGTGGGGCACTGGGGAGT